CCTTGCATTCAGCCAGGTGGAAGGGGTAGATGCCCAGCCGCGGCCCTCTGTTCTGCGAAGTACCCTGCATTCTCTGAAGTGCAGTTCACAGTCATTGTAGCTTCTGCGCATGGCCTGTATGCGCTGTGCTCACAATTAGATTTGGCCTTTTTCTGCCCTTTCCAGTGCAGTGACATGATTTCCTTATTACCTTTCTCTGGGGGGCTTGAGATGAGTGTGCCTCACAGGCGTGGAGGCTGGGTTTTTGAAGGCTGTGGGCTCCTCTGCAGCAGAGGGAAGGGGCAGATCTAGCAAGTGGCGAATTAAGGATGTCAAAGAGCCGCCGAACTTGCGTTATAGTAGAGGGAGTTCCTCTGTGGTCATGCGACTAGGAGGCAAATTTAGCAGAGGGGGTCAGGGCTCAGGAGACTGTCCTGTTGGTGCACTTTTATTGACTTCCCTGCCAAGGGACTTGGGAGGTGAGGGTTTGGGGGTCTCTGGCTGGACAGCCAGGCAGGACAGTGGCATCTGTCTCCTCCTATGTTCCGGCCTGCGCTCGGGTTTGATTTTTTTAGCCTGTGCGGTCTGGATGGTGCTCTGCCTCCAGCCTAGCAATCAGAGTCCACCCTGGCTGTCTGCAGTGGATTGGCCGGGTCTGGGGGGGGTGGGAAAGCTGGGGAACTGGAATCAGCAAGAGCACAAGTGGCAGGAATAAACCAGCGGGCCCCTGGGAAGAGCCGAGGGAGAGAGGGGGTGATGCATCATTTACACATGAGGTAATGGGGGGGCGCGCGGGGAGGCGGGCTTGGGGGGGGGCGGTGACAGAAAGGGGGCCCTGTTCTGCAGCTGGAGAGCGGGAGTAAACATCCGTCAGCCTCCTTAAGCCCCGCGGAGCCCAGATTCACGGAGTGGCAGAGCGCAGGAAGACCAGATGACCCCTGGATCACCCCCTCCCCCTCCCCCTCCCCTCTCTGCCATCAGAGAAGGCTGGGGTGCAACTGAGAAGGGATACCCCACTTTGCAAAGCTGCATTCCTCTAATCCGGGGGGAGGGGGGGATAGAATACTTATCAATAAATTAGTCGATACATCAATATTAAGCCTAGCAGACATAGAAGACACACAGTAGAAGTGCACCTGCCCGCCAGGTGTTTATGATACTTGTGAGGTGAGATCCGCACCTCTGGGCTGGTGCTGTTATCGGAGAGGGGGTCCGCGGGCTCCTGTGCAGCAAGAGGAGACTGGACTTCTAATCCCGGGCTGCTCCTCAGTGGTTTACAGCTACTGAGTGTGTGAGTGTGTGTGATCCGCGCGCGTCCCTGCGCGAGTGTGTCCGCGCTGGTGCCGGGGCTGCGCGCAGCTGTCCTGGCCTGAGCCCCCCGGAATGCTGATCCCGCTGTATCCCGCCCGGCACAGACAACACCCCCTCCACCACCAC